CGTATGCAATAAATTAGTAAAATAAAAAATATTAAAAACATATTAGCCAAATACAAGACACACCTTAAGTAAGGAGGAAACAAAAATACACATTGGAATATACGAGAACATCAATGTAACATGACCTTAAGCACACACTTAGGATAACCAAGGAGTGGCTCTGGAAGAAGCATATGAGGGTTCTGGCTCGTCATGATTTTATTCTAAGATCTGACCCACATGCAGAAAACCAAACAGAGCGACCAGGGGAAGGTTTAACAAGTTTATCGAGAACTGGTAGCATGGGTCCAGTGCTGCTCTGAACACTGGGGAACCGGGAGTTTCCAGGAAAGGTGTCTTTTCTTTGAATCCAGTCGGTGTGGGTTGTTCCAGTAATTGACTTGCTCGTTGGAGGGCGGCCAGGGTTTACCCAGGTTGCGGTGTTACTTGAGGAATGGAGGAGCTCACTGCCACTTAGATTTTCTATGGTACTTGAACGGTTTCTTGTGGAGATTAATCCCCTGCTCAGCGTGAAGCTCAAACAATCCTTCCAGGGGGAGAAGGTCCAAAACATCCAGTTTGCAGGATGACTTCCCAAAACTGGCAGACACTCTGGCCTCAAGGTAGTGGCAGTCCATGGCTTAAGTACTCCTCCAGATAAAGGTCCAACGAGCTGCAGGTGTGCAGGGAGGCCCAATGAGAACCGGGCACCACCTGGTGGAAGAGGAAAGGAAACACAAAAAACAACCCACAAAAACTCGATTCCTGACAGCTTGGCATGGTCAGTCTCCAGACCTAAACCCAATAAAGAATCTTTGGAGGGAGCTCAAATTCCATGTTTCTCAGCACCAGCCCAGAAACCTGACAGATCTAGAGAAGATCTGTGTGGAGGAGTGGGTCAAGAGACGACCTGCTGCCAGATAATTTCAGCTGATTTTATGATATATGGATACAAAAAAAGAATTTCAGATTGTCAAGAAGTTTAATTGTAGCCTAGGAATTATGTTGGAGATACCTAAGAATCTGAATTCCAGATATCTGAAATAATTTTTTACTGGAAGACAATGAAAAGATTTTGATTTGGTTGAAACATTTTTTAAAATATAATTTCTACTGGCAGAAATGTAATGTAATGCTGCTACATTTCTGACTATGATTGTAATTGTAAGTAGGTAAAATGCTTTAGCACTGTAATGGAAATCTGACATCAGCTAGCCTATTTTATGGTAAAACAAATGTTAAAGTATATTTTATCTGTAGTTGCGTTCTATATAAGCATAATTTAATTTCAAATATCTAAAATACCAGTTTAACTTGTCATATTGTTGGTGGTAGACGTAAGTAATGGCATTTCTACAAGCAGAAATATATTTTTGATACAGAATTGAATATCTGGATATTTAGAATATTTTATTTTTGATATCTGAAATGGCCATTATGACTGGATAATGGAGATCCGAAATTAGAAGACATCAAGAATTGTAAACAGGGTTGTAGATAGGAATAGTCAATTTAGATATCAGGCAGTAAAAGCCCAAACACATGAATGGGGAAAGTGATGTCATTTATACAAGCAAGAATTACATTTAAGAAATCTAAAATGTTCATTTTAGATATTAAGAATGTTATTTTAGATCGTTGAAATGTTCATTTGGACTAGCAGGGAATAGATTTGTTATATCTGAAATTCAAAATGTCAAACTAATAAATGTGAAATGGCCTGCCATACCTATATTGCAAGCTTACTGTTGATAATTAAACACATTTTAAGCCTTTCCAAATTGATCAGTCCCAGCATGTTCTCACAAAACCCATTTAGAAGCTTTAGCTGTCAGTTATTTTATAAAGTAATTATACAAAAGGGACACTTTCAATAAATTAACAAGTATTTTGAATTAGGAAACCCCTTATGGTTCCTTTACTCAGCATTGAGTTTTATTTTGGAAATCTGCCCAGTCAGCCTCTTTCTTATAGTGGAGGCATGAACTTCGACCTTAAGTAGAGGTAATAAGTCTTGCAGGTCTTTGGCTTTTACAGTACCTTGAAATTTTTTTTTATACCCTTTAATACAGCCCCTTACAGCCATTTTATATTAAGGCGTCCCCATGGTGAAAGGCTTTGACTGTAATGCATCACACCGTGGTTCAATTCCTGATTTTGTCAGGAAGGGAATATAGATTATAAACTTTGCCAAGTTTCTAAGCAAGTCTTAAAGACATGGCAACCCCTGCATATGGAAAACAAGCTGTTCTGTATTTTCTCATTTTACAACTACAAAATTAATGATTTGTAGAGCAAAGTGTAGACCAAAACAAGATGTGTAACAAGTGACACCTCCTCCACCCCAGCTGCAAAACCACCGTATCCTGGCTGCATTTGTAAACAAGAATAAATTCTAGAGAAAGTTGTATCACAATAAATATCGCTTTTGTATTTTTTTGCCTCCTTAATGGCTGCCCTGTAATCATATACTTAATTTTAACAATTTATTTTCTCTTATGTTTTTCTCACCATCACTGTCCATTAAGCTTTAACAACATTAAGCTTCTGGACTACATGTTGTAGAGGGAGGTTAAGAGAAAAAACACCATGGCTTGCAGTGAAAACAGCAAGTAATTTATTTTTTTCAAACATACACCTGTATCAAAAGCAGAGAAAGCAAAAAACGGATCTCAAATTGCTCCACACCTAATAAAAAACAACAGGTATGTGCAAGTTTAATTCAAAACAAAGTCAGAAATAAGCAATAACCCTGAGTGGATAACCAGAGTAAAGTAAAAAAAAAGCATGCAAAACCAATAAATATATATAAAACAAGAACAAAAAAAATCCAGGCCAGGAATTAAACCAATAACCTTCTTGCTGCTAGGCAGCGGCACCCACTGTGCCACGGAGCAGGCCTTCATAAGAAATGTTTCATTGAATTTCATAAAGGGACTAAAGTGAACTTTTATATGGGTACATTCTTTAGTAGTCCAAAACTGATTAGCATTTCTGTCATATTTGAAATAACATAAAAACAAACAAAAAAAAGTAACCAATCAAAATAAATGTGCATTTTCCTACACATTGAAACGTACGGAAAGCAAATGCTTCCCCCTGAGATGTCCCTGGCCAAATATAGTAAGAGCAAACTTCGACATAATATGCAGTAGATCTAAACTTCTTTCACAATATAACACTCCTTGTTAAAATTAATCACAATTTTCAATTGTCAGCAAGGACCTGAGGAAGGGCAGCTGCTGACGTCACTCTGCTGCCGCCACTGCTCAGAATGCTTTTTCGTTTTTGAGTTATGGACAGTACTTTGCTGGCAGACCATGAAAACGAAAAAGCTATGTCTGCTGTGTTTTCTCTTTGATTGTGGCATAAAATGTGCAGTCTTAAAGAAGAAAATGCAAATGCAAATAGGATGATTGATTACAAATTTCATTTATGAGTCACTGTTGAATTTTATATGAGGCTATTTACTCATGCCAATGGTCTGTCTTACTTTATAGATTTTATTCATGTTAACCAATTTAAATGATTAATTAGGCATTCCATCACAAGAGAAAAACTATCTTAACATATTTTTAGGCCTGTATGTTTCAAATACTGCCTCACTGTCATCACCAGAAGTCTTGTTGAAGTCTCATCAGTCTGAACTCCACCAAGTGACATTTCTCAGAATTTGTTCACATTTGTGAACACTACCTTGTGTATGTTTAAATCTCTTCTGCATGTTTGAATGATCCTGGGTGTGAACCATATGTATTAGAAATACGGAGACTCTTTAAGCATCTTCAATAAGCCCTTTGTTTGAAAGAAAAACATTACTGATCTTTTAAAATAACGGTTACATTCCTTTGTTCTTATCAATACCCTGGTAGTAGGGTATTCTTATTCAAAGTTAACGGCCGTCAAAACTTTTTTCAATACAAAATTTGGAAAAATCTGACTTAAGGTAAAATGTGTAAACCCTGAAAGAAGCACCAGTTTTCTTAAAATTAGAAAACATTTAAACAATCAGGCATTTACTTGCAAATACTCAGGAGGCGATTGAGGATTGTCTAACGGCATGTTTACAATAACAGTTCTGTCTCCAGCTTTGATCCAGTGTAGTTTAGGTTTAGCTGCCTAATCAATTTGACCACATGTTGCTCAGTTACTGTTAAACTGCAGTTAAAATGAAGTTTGTTTTTGTTTTTTTCTGTTTTTCATGGTCATGGCTCTAACTTGCTGTTTTGTCTGTTTTTCAGATGGTAATTTCCGGAGCTTCTTTCCAACACTGCTGTGCTGTCTCGCCTTAAAGAAAAAATGGAAAAAAGAAACAACCAATGAGCTTTAAAAGGAGTAAAAAAAATATGATTTACAGTATATACCACACCAGCAGAGATTGTGGAAAAAAAGAAATATATCTATCCATATCACTGAGGAAATAAAAAAAATACTTACTTATAAATGAGAGTAGCATCTTGTAATGGTTTTTGATTCCTGTGAATAATTGAAGAACAATTATATAAAACAATTAGCAACAGAAGTTACTGTGATTTTATTAAGGTAAAAGTCCATAATTCATAGACGTACCTTTGCTGATAACTTATATACAGGAAAATACCAATGATAACCATCATCAGCATCAGGATTGGAAAAGTTAAAGGCCATCCTGGAGAAAGAAGATGAAATTTTTCTCAAGAATAGAACAAACTGGGAAATAAAACTAAACAACGTGAGAATCTGAATATAACTTACTGGAATCTCGGAGAGATGATTCTGATTGTTTTTCCAAACCTAATATAAAAAAAAAAAAAAGGTCTGCAGTTCACGTTTTTCTTGCAATAAAGCTCCAACATAAGTAGACTTTGGTGAGATTTTATGGGGTTATATTTGGTCTTCCCCTTCAGAATATTAGCTGATTGTCTAAAACTCAATAAAATTCATTAATGTTTGGCTGTACCTTCACAAAATGTGGCAAAGATGAAAGGATATAAACAATCTCTACAAATAGTTGTATCTCTGAGTCTCCAAAAGTTACTCACCATCATCAGATGTTTCTTTAAATCCAGGAACAATGATCAGCTTCTCTCTGGGAGCAGCAGAGAGCACTGACACTGAACATCCAACCTGTGTGCTGCTGAAAGCTGACAGCAGAGCTGTGGTGGTGACGGTGACTGTACCGTTGCTGTGGGTCACACTGCTGCTGTTGTAGTGGGAGAAGCTGAGGTTCTGCTGTAGAACAGTCAGTGTTACAGTGGGAGCAGGTCGACCTGTGGCTGAACAGGACACAACTGATTCTGCAGGAGACTCTGATCTGCTGACATCAAGGATGGGTTCATGCAGCTCTGAGAGGAGAACAAACATAATGATCAACATCTAGTTATGGAAGTTAACCCTGGAATACAGTCTGGTTCTTACCATAAACATTCAGGCAGGTTCTCCCTATCAGAGCTCCATCAGGGTAAATGTTGAACAAACAGAGATAACATCCTTCATCCTTCTCTGTAACCTTCCTGATAACTATGGAGGAATTCTTCAGTCCAGCTTCTATAAACTGGACTTTATCTTTAAAGTCAGGATTCACTGTTTGACCAAAATGCTCGCTATAGGAGCAGATATTCCTCTCTTTGCTCCCAAAGACCCTCTGCCAGGTGACCTGCAGGACACCTTTAGTTTCCAGGAGCTGACAGCTGAGAGGAGCATCTACACCCTCTGCTGCTAAGACATTCAGCTGGGTTTGGACCACAACTGCTGCACCTGTAAAAAGCAAAGAAATAGATCAATGTAACTTTATGTATATTATCTAGCATTCTATCGGAGTACTTTCATTTCCTCTCTGTATACTTTGACAAAAAACTCACAACAGTTGAGTTATACCCAACATCTTCTGGTTGACTTTCATTGTTTTCTTTGCCCTTTCATAAATTAAATCCTTTCCTAAGCCTCTAATAAGGCCTTGAGATGTGATCAGTCCATCAACTTCATATAGAATCCTTGTTGAATGTTGCCAATAAAAAAAGTTGAAATAACATATCAGACAAAATGACACTGATTTGGTCTTAAAGCAGATTCTAGAACATATTAAAATCTGACATTAAAGGTTATAAAGCACATCATTGATTCCACACTATTAGACAGGAATAGAAATATTTGCTAAAACGAAGTAAACTACTGCAATTCTGATGAAAAAATGATGCAATGCTGTGGTTGAAACATAGCAGAGATCTGCCTGAACAAGTCTGGAAACTGAAGCCTTAGTTAAAATAGGTGGCCACCATTCCTCCACTTTGACACTGAAGGTATTTCAATGAGCGTGTGACTAATGTACTGAAATGATGTGTTTACCCTTATGGACCCTAGCTTAAATTACAAAGGAGAGTCTCATTCTCCTTTTGCACTCAAGCTTTCGGAGTATCAGAGCATCTGAACATTCAGCGTCTAATGCTGGAATTCAGAAACCTGAACTTTTACAGCTTGACGCGATGCAACAACCAATTAAAGAAGCTAATATATGGGTTGTCTGGGAAACAAACACTATTTGCAAGCAGTTAAAGCTTTTGCAGAGCTATCTGCCTATGAAAAATAAAGATATAGAAAAGCGTTTAAACTACACAGTTTTTACAAAGAGCAGCGAAGAGAGCAGGCTCTCATCATTATTACTCCACTAAAACATTTTCTTAATGAACTATGGTTTATAAATACCTACATTAACTAAAAATGTTGAAACCTGCTGGCAAAAAAATATATGATTATTGCACAACAATTATAGTTTCAAAACGAAGTCAGAACATATCCTCAGAGATTCTGGCTAATACTGAGGATCTCTCTCCACGCCTTTGTGCCTATAGAGCACAAAGGCGCTCTATGGGATTTAGATCTTGGCAACAGAAACCAATAAAGAACATTAAGATAAAGAATCATAATGATTCTAAATAATCAGTCCAAGATCTATTATTTCCATAGAAAACCCTGACAGAATGATATTCTGTCAATATCATTTAATCAAACAGATTAAAATACCTGGACATGGTCAACAACAACACTCAGGCGGTCTGTGATCTCTTGACTTTATACCAACCTCTGACCGGAACACCTGAATGTTCTCATTTAGTTTAAGTTAAAACAAATATTTTATTTAGTCAACATACCTTAGAAGCAGGCTTTAACGGAAGAGAACAGACAGCTGCTAGAAGTGTAAAATAGCACACCTTGAAGTAAGCCTCTGTTTCCTCACAGTGTCTATCTTTGTTACTAAGGGGCAGTTCCTTTCTTGTTTATTTTACCAAGATAAAAAATACTTGAACAAGAAATCATTTTATATTCACACATACACTATGGTAAGGTAAAAAAAATTTTTTGGTACAAACACCTGAAACACATTTTGATCGACAATGAGGTTACACAATTACAGTACGGTAAGAAGCAAGGATATGAACATGTCCTTGCAACCTAAAAAAACTTATATTTAACTTAAAAGTAATGAACACATTTTAAAAATACTCTTTTTTGGTATGTATTAGCATTAATAAATGCCACTGCCCTTCCTGTCAGGCATGAGAAAATGTCATGTGCTAGCCAAATTAGGTGACCTTGATATAAACTAATTGTACTGAGGAATATACGTATTTGTATATCTGTTATATTTCTGCTAGAAATATTTCAGCACCTGCCAATCAGCAAAATTACTGGCTCTCAAAGATCTGTTAGGGTACATTCAGACTGCAGGCATTAATGCTCAATTCTGATTCTTCTTTGTGAAATCTGATTGTTTTAGGGGCCGTTCACATTTCTAAATATGTGCAACTTGTATGTGATCTACTGTGTGAACTGTATTAAAACAGCCTAATTGTCAAGCATGCGCAATGCAGCACGCAATGACGTCACAAATAGCGAGCCTGCTCTGTGTTTATGCAAGTAAACATGGATGGTACTGCAGGAGTGCATCCAGAAAACGTTCATTTATTTTTCCAAGCGGAGTTAGCGCATTAAGAAAGTAAACCTTTCAAGAAGATCAAAACTCTCCGTATTGCTGTCTGCCATGGTTGTTTTCATTGCGGCTTCTGCTTTGCAAGATACAGAACAGTTAGCTTTGTTGAATATTAATGATGTTCAGGTTGGATGAATGCAAACTGGCCGTTCAGACACAGGTCGCATTTGAAAATAATTCTGATACGTATCTGATTTAGGAGCACCTAGCTAAGTCGTCTAGGTTGCATTTGAAAAAAAAAACTGGATCTACGTTGTTCAGACTGTAATGAAAAAAATCTGTTATAGGTTACATATGTGTAAAAAAAAACAACTTTAGGCTGCAGTGTTTATAAAGCCTTAGTCCACCTCTAAGAAGTCCACCTATAATCCACTTGTTATTCTAAATTAGATGAACCTGGTTGAGATTTTTATCTGCAGAAAGACAACTGTCCATCCGGCAGAATCAGTATGACAACAGCCACATACATGGCTAAGACCAAAGAGCTGTCCAAAGACACCAGAGACAGAATTGTACAGTCATGGCCAAAAGTATTGAGAATGAGACAAATATTTTATTTTAGCACATAATCTGTTGGCCTCTGGTTTTCATGTGTGTATGTCAGATGATGTCATCACATACAGAAATACAATTGCAATCATATTATGAGTAACAAAGCTTTTAATGACAGAATGAGTTAATGCAGCAAGTCAATATTTGCAGTATTGACCCCACTTCTTCAGGACCTCTGCAATTCTCCTTGGCATGCTTTCAATCAACTTCTGGACCAAATCCTGACTGATAGCAGTCCATTCTTGCACAATCAATGCTTGCATTTTGTCAGAATTACTAGGTTTTACTTTTTGTCCACCCGTGTCCTGATGATTGACCACAAGTTTTCAATGGGATTAAGATCAGGGGAGTTTCCAGGCCATGGACCCAAAATCTCTAGGTTTTGTTCCCTGAGTCAGTTAGATATCACCTTTGCTTTATGGCAAGGTACTGCATCATGCTGGAAAAGACATTGTTCATCACCAAACTGCTCTTGGATGGTTGGGAGAAGTTGCTCTCGGAGGACATTCTGGTACCATTCTTTATTCATGGCTGTGTTTTTAGGTAAGACTGTGAGAGAGCCGACTCCCTTGGCTGATAAGAAACCCCACACGCACAGTTTCAGGATGCTTTACAGTTGGCATGAGACAAGACTGGTGGTAGCGCTCACCTCGTCTTCTCCTGACAAGCTGTTTTCCAGATGTCCCAAACAATCGGAAAGGGGATTCATCAGAGAAAATGACTTTACCCCAGTCCTCAGCAGTCCACTCCCTGTACCTTTTGCAGAATATCAGTATGTCCCTGATGTTTTTCCTGGAGAGAAGTGGCTTCTTTGCTGCCCTCCTTGAGACCAGGCCTTGCTCCAAGAGTCTCCGCCTCACAGTGCGTGCAGATGCACTCACACCTGCCTGCTGCCATTCCTGAGCAAGCTCTGCACTGCTGGTAGCCCCATCCCGCAGCTGAAACACTTTTAAGAGACGTCCCAGCGCTTACTGGTCTTTCTTGGGCGACCTGGAGCCTTTTTGGCAACAATGGAACCTCTCTCCTTCAAGTTCTTGATGATGCAATAGATTGTTGACTGAGGTGCGATCTTTCTAGCTGCGATTCCCTTTCCTGTTAGGCCATTTTTCTGCAGTGCAATGATGACTGCACATGTTTCTTTACAGATAACCATGGTTAACAGAAGAGAAGCAATGATGCCAAGCACCAGCCTTTTTTTTAAAGTGTCCAGTGGTGTCATTCTTACTTAATCATGACAGATTGATCTCCAGCCCTGTCATCACCAACCACACCTGCGTTGATGGAGCAATCACTGAAATGATGTTAGCTGGTCCTTTTAAGGCAGGGCTGCAATGATGTCGAAATATGTTTTGGGGGATAAAGCATTTTATAGGCAAATATTGACTTTGCAATTAATTGCTGTTACGGTGATCACTCTTTATAACATTTTGTAGTATATGCAAATTGCCGTTATAAAAACTGAAGCAGTAGCATTTTTTAAATATTAAGATTTTAATCATTCTCAAATCTTTTGGCCATGACTGTAGACTCCCACAAGGCTGGAAAGGGTACGGGGCAATTGCTGAACAACTTGGTAAAAAAAAAAAGATAAACTGTTGGAGCAATTATTATAAAAAGGATGAAGCTGAACATTATTGTCAATCTCCCTCGGACGGCGACTCCATGCAAGATCTCACCTCGTGGGGTCTCAGTGATCCTAGGATCAGTAGGAGCTGGTCCATGACCTGAAATGAGCTGGGACCACCGTTTCTAAGGTTACTGTTGGTAATACACTAAGACTTAATGGTTGAAAATCATCCATGGCACAGAAGTTTCTCCTAATTTAATCAGCTCATGTCCAGGTCCGTCTTAAGTTTACCCATGACCATTTGGATGACCCAGAGGAATCATGGGCGAAAGTCAGATGAGATCAAAATAAAACTTTGTGGTCTTAATTTTACAAGTCATGTTTGGAGGAGGAAGAATGGTGAGTACTATCCCAAAAAACACCATCCCTACTGTAAAGCATGGGGGTGGTAGCATCATGCTTTGTGGGTGTTTTCCACACTTCCAATGGGATGACTGCATTTTATCAAGGAGAGGATGACCAGCAGCATGTATTGCGAGATTATAAGGAACAACCTCCTTCCCTCAGTCAGAGCATTGAAGATGGGTCGAGGCTGGGTCTTCCAACATGACAATGACCCAAAGCACACAGCCAGGATAACCAAGGAGTGGCTCTGGAAGAAGAATATCAAGGTTCTTACGTGAACTAGCCAGTCTTCAGACCTAAACTCAATAGATAATCTTTGGAGGGAGCTCAAACTCTTTGTTTATCAGTGATTTTCTCAGGTGTTCAAATGCTTCTTTGCAGCTGTATCATGCAAATAAAAAGTTTTAAAAAATCATGCATTTTTGGATATTTTTTATATTGGACTACGTCTCTCACAGTGGCATTTTCGATTGCACCTCAATTGAAAATGTCAGGCTCCTTCATGATTTGTAAGTGGAAGAACTTTCAAAATTACAGGCTGTTCAAATACTTATTTTCTTCCCTTCTGTATTATTTACCAACTGTTTAGATGAGGAATGTAAAGTATAGCAGAAATTGCAGACCTTGCATAAGATTTTGTGCTACTGGATTTAGGAGGATCTAGAAAAGCTTCAAAATATCTTTAAAAAGTATGGAGATATAAGGAAGTTCAGCTAAACAAATGGAGGCTTTAGCTGAATGGTATGTGAAAAATACAGAGCAGACGATGAAGCAACCATTTCAATAAGTAACCGACAATGAAGAGGCACTTTCACAATGGGAGACATCACAAGCATGAGAGCAGTGATAAAAGCAGCATAGCAAAAACTAAATGGATGTTAAGACCAGATATTTACATAGAAACCACTGATGAAAATGCAAATAATTCTGCCTGAAGGTTTTAAGATAGGTGGTTAAAATACAGTCATATGAACTCAAAAGGTGTCTGTATGGTTTAAAATGGTCTGGGAGAAACTGTAATGCTTCACTGCATATTTGAGTGAAAATTACTACAATCAATATCCAAGCGATCAGTGTTTGTATCCTAAAAAGAAAAATAGTGAAAAAATGATGTTACTGGTATGGCTAGATGTTCTTATCATTGCAGCTAGCAATGAGGTAGCTTTAAAGGATGCAAAGATTAGCAGGTTGTATTCCCAACCACCATATTTGGTCTGCTTTAACATATCAGAGGTTGATACCCTCCTGTTTTCTTTTTAAAATCTGTTTTAGTTATTTTCCTGTAAAGCCTGTTTTCCAGGAACAGTCTGTATTATTTTCCTTAAATCTGGTTCTCCCAGTTCCTCCAGTTAGATTTGACAGTTTAACGAACTTCACTGTTTGCCCAAAACTTAAAATCTACATTAATCTAACACAGTGGTTCCAATGCTCCTGCCCTTCATATTTTATATCAGTCTTTTGTCCATCACTCTAATCCAATTATCTCCTCCCTTTATTTTCTATCAAATGCTGCAGATGATAATAAAAGAAATATTTTAAAAAGCCTGCTTCCCATAACAAGCATGAACAGATCAGGAAACATCATGAACATAATAATGTAATAGCTCTTGGTCATCTACTTTAAATACTTAAGTAAATATGAAGCAACTTATTTCAGTTATACTGGAATGCCTTTTGTGACACATTTCTATTCGCTTAGATAGAAGCTTCAAAAGAAAAATCAAGTTTATAATGTCTGAAATGTCTGGCAGGGGGAAAGGGACAGATAAATGCACAGCCCGGGCTATTAAAAGTCATAAAGATGATGCTTTTGCTGCTTAAGACTCTGAAAAAGTCCAGATTTAAATAATGGAATTAAAAACATTTTCTGGGTAGCATGCCACCTAGAAATGACTGACTGCTGACCTCAGTATTTATTGGGCCCTGCATATTGCCCTGAAATTATTACACTTTACCATCCCGCCTTTTTAGATCTAACTGATAGAAAACATCAACAGAACAATTCAGCTCATGGAACTAAAACTGCACTGATATTCAGATATGATTCAAGTAGATGCAATAAAACTACCATAACAAGAACATCTATTTAAGTAACTTAAGTACATTTCTGAATGGGAAGAGTTCATAGTAAAACTGAGAGCATGGTTGGAACTGTGCCAGCTTTGTCTAGACTGAACAGACGGTTTTATTATTCAACAAAGATTCTGCAAGAAATTCACACCTCAGAGCATCTTATTGTATTTAAATAACGATTTTGATTAATTTTCTTAAATCAGATTGGACTAGACAGAAAAAAATAATAATGAAATGATAAATCATAAATAGAAGACTGAGCATTGGCAGGGATAAAACATCCAACTTCCTGCATAAAAAAGCATAAACAGTGAATATTCTCACCTTTCAGCTGTGATGCTCCACAGTTTAAAATTAAGAAAATTACACAAAGTTGCTCCATGTGGCATCGTGGCGAGTTGAAGTCATTACTGAAGAAAGGGGTGGAGAAAGGAAGAAACTGTGCTGAATAACCATTGGAGGCATACGTTTAGAAATAAAACAATAAAAATAGCCCATATACTATACTTACAGTCTGTAAAAGTTAATAATTTATATTTGAAATCAAAGGACAGGACATATCTACAACATGCAGGGTTGATTGTGGATATTACTATTTTACTATGGCTCTCTGCTTTGTTTTTATCTGAACGGTTTGTCTAGCCTCATTTTTCCTCCGCCGCAAAAACCTATTTTTCTTTTCTTTTTTTTTGTACGGACCATGTTTTGCTACTTTGTTCATTAAAAAACAAAAAAACAAAACTTGTGGAATCATTTTAATTTCTACTCAACTGACAAAAAGATGGAACTGTTTTATGTCTTGACCTTAAACTTAAAACTAGGTTTATTCACATCCAAGGCAGAAATGAGTGGAAAAAGTAGGGATACACATTTTTTTTTAATTGATATAAATGCAAAACGTTAAGATAAACAGCTTTCTTGTTCCGGTAAAACCTCTTCTTCGCTACAAGAGAAAGCCGTTCCAACATTTCAAGTGCATCCGTATTCCAGAGTTTACATTTAAAAAAAACGGTATGTGAAAATAGCTGCTACTTGTACCAACTTCCTGTTTTCAAAATAAAAGTCCAGGCCTAGCTTTCAAAGGCGAAAAGCTAAAAAGTTAGAGTGTGAATATTTACCCTCATCACTAAAACTGATTTTAAAAAAAATAATTAATTAATAAATATGATATGCAAAACTAAAAGGTGTACCTCATACCTTCACTATTATTTTGAAAACAAGCAGTTGGTACACGCTGTGGACATTTTTCCACCATTGTTTCTACTGTACATTCTGTTATACAGGTGCACATGAAGTGTTGGAGCGGCATTCTCCAATTGCGATGTACCCAAGAAGAGGTTTTACCCGAGAGAAAAACAGGATAAACCCATTTTTCTCTCGGGTAAAAATAGGTTTATCCGCAGGATATCCGGAGAAATTACATCTAATGAATGAGTGTAATTGATATTAACTGAAAAAAATATTTTACTTTGTCGGACATAGTTTGGGGGATGGGATAAAGGGGACATTTCCATTGCATGTTTTAAGTGGGAATCTGCTGCTGTAAATTGTACATGTGCAAATAAACAAGCACAGGAAGCTATGATTGAAAGCTGTCTGAAAAAGCTGCAGAAAAACACACAACAGTTCCCCAATTTTTAATGGCCATGGATTTTGAGATGTTTTAATCCCATGAAATTGATGCGGATTTGCTCATCCTTTCCTTTGGTACCAAGGATCATGTAATCCATCTCTGTTTGGAGCTGGTTTAGGAGGAATGTGAAATTGGATCAAACTGATCCAGATTCTCACTTTGGGAGATCACCAAATCCAGATTATCTGCAACAGGATAACTGCTGTGCTGCACATCAACCAGTAGATGGCAGTATTATGCATCTGCTCTATATTCAGCTTTGTTTTAAAATGATCACTGATTGAAATAGGGGAACATTTTCTGACGAAACCGTATATTTAGCAGTAGACCTATGGTCAAAAGCTGAACAGGGTAACATTAGCGTGATTGTTGAAAAAATAAATGAAAATAAAACGTTACAGAGAAATATGGTTTAATATATAGCACTGCATGATTGAACTAAAGTGCTTTAGATTAAATATTAATATTTGATAAAATTCTGGGCCTAAAATTGATGTTGAATCCACATTTCTTATGAGTTGATTATAATCCATTTTTTTTAATGTATTTTCTTTATGAAATGTTTTCCAATCGTATTACAAAATTCTGAAAAACCCAAAGTTTGATCTAAATCAGAACCAGGATTGGATTACCTGATCTAATCCAAGTTTAAGCCATTTTTGTTTTTCTTTTGAAAAGCCAATTTTCAGGATTTGAAATAATCCATTATCCAAAATCTAAGTGGATTACTTTTGAAAATCCCAGATGACTTTCAAATAAAATAAGAAAATATGATGCAAAAAGCTTACATTTAATTATTGCTTCAAGTGTTATTGTCTACTCCTGGTTCATGTAACTGGTTCTTCATTTCCTTCTCTTCAGCATACTATTTATTACATTACAGGCGAATATTGTAATAATGCCACACCTGATTTATTTACCAACAGTCTGCCTTCTCAGACTTCTGGCTCCTCAGAAGCCCTGATATCCAGACCTGATTGTTGCAACACCCAATGAAAGAAGAAGAGACTGGATTTTTAATCCAGTCTCTGTCTTTTAACACTAACATTTTGCTGGTTGTTGTCTTAAAATAAAATTAGTAATTTTATTGCAGATATATGTAAAACTTTAAGCTGAAACTAGTTGAACTACACAGGTCTGACTATAATAATGAAAAAGGAATAATACTGCATGTTGTTGTTGCATGTGAAAAGGGTTTACCAGTGCAAACAATAAAAGTCCACTTGAAATTAGCTTTACTGCAATCTTTACCAAATTAAATGTGAGTGATATAAACCATTTATGATATTCTGGCTATTGGAAACCATTAACAATGTTCTTAAAATAAATGTATATATTTGTTTTTGGTAGAAACATTAGTTGTAACACAAGCTCTAAGTTAGTGTTATAAAATCACATCCATGTCAATTCCTGTGTATGTTCAGAGAGCTGTAAACATTTGGTTGTTTCTTCCAAGGCATAAAAAATATACCTGCTTTGCTCCTTCTTGCATCTCAAGAGTCTGCTTGAAATCTTTTTTTTTTTAAATTGTTACTGTAATTTAAGATTTGAAGAAAATATTGTTCTCAGCTGTTATACTGAATAAAATGTTAAAGTTCAAGTAGAGGACATACTTATACTTTCTAATTTGACAGTATGTACAAAATAAAGTACATCAAAACTGAAAAAATGTCCAGCATTTAGTTGTTAATAGCATAAAATAAGTCACTAAGGTCCAAGCATCGGGTCCTTTCTGCTGTCCAGGTGGGAAGCATTGCCCTTGGATGTGGTTTCTATCCGGTTCGGCTCATGGCTCCAGGCTGAAGGGGTTCGAGCTGTGGGTCTCCACCTGACTCCTACTAACTGACTGTTATCCATCGCCGCTCTTGTTGTTCTGGAGCCTGGACCATAACCATATGGCAATCCGTCTGGAGCTGTGGCTATTCTAAACTTTGCAACCAGCTAGGGGTTGTTTTTTATGAAATAAAATATTTCATAAAAAAAAAACAACAATGCTTTGAATCAGCTTTACAACAGAGAAAACAAGCCGTTGCAGCTTTAGTATATTAAATCCAACTAATCCTGTGAGAGGATGCTTGACTTCACTGACATCCTCTCAATTTTTATTACTCGGAGCATTATTAGCGTGATTTAGACCAGTCACATAGAGAAAAGAAAGGATAATCTACCATCACACAGGATAAAACTGCTGTAGACACACTCCTTTCTATTTCACCTCTAAAGGAACACTTTTCTCTTTTAATAATCTGAACCCAAAGATCCACGAATAATTATATAAATAATATATTATAATGATTAACAATATAATATAATAATTTTATATGGAGACAAAAGGTGAATTGTTGAAATAATTTCTGAAACTGTGTTAGACAGTTTCACTCTTTTTCAGAGATAATCCATCCACCTCAGGCGTGGCCTATCTTAATGCTAATTAGGCACAATGATTACAAATGATTTCCAAAAAGGTGTGCCTGTGTTTTTAACACAAAGCATTGGATTGATATGTATCAAGTTTTGAGTGGGATTTGGGAAAATGTTCTTAATGAATTAGGTTCCGTATTTATTTAATTAACAGTCTTAATTTATGGTGAATGCAAGCTTTAAGGAAGGGTTTCAGAGATGACAAAAGGATTTCCCAAACAAACTATATTTTTTAATTGATTATTAATTATTGTCCTCTCACTGTGGAACACTACGGTCATTTTATTAAGTTTTTTGTTCTTTTTTTGGATTAGGTTTGCAGGCCGTATATTTCTATTTGATGCCCAGAAGGCTGTTTTACAAGCTGTATTCAGAAATTCCTAGATAAAGTAGCAGCCATTCAAAATAGCTGCTCCCAGTCACGTGGCAGCCTAATGGCAGCAGAATCCCGTGAATCTCCAAGCAAAATCCTGACAGAAAACTTTTTTTAAATTTCCAGGTTTGTACTGTACAGCCATACAAAGAGCAAAACTCTGACATTTTCCTGTTGTCATCCTGCTGGTGTTGTGCCAAGTTACTTATCCCTGCAAGAATTTGTTTCCCCTCGCCGGGAGCGCGCACAGAGTAGAAAGAGCTGATTGAGTTTATTCTGCCTTAATTCAAACCTACTAAACGTGAAACTTGAGATGTGTTATGTTTATGACATGTTATAGCAGTATATCGCCAGTGATATTGATAAAAAAAACAGAAAGCGCGAGCATTTGCTTCAAAACAGAATGCTGACAGCAGTGTCTCCTCCTTTTTCTGAAAGCCAACACCTCCTTGTTCGTTTCAACACGTTCCTTAAAAAATCTCTTGTTTCACTGTCTAAATGTTTTCATCTCATTGAAAATTGTAGTCAACCATATTCTTGTAATAAAAATTAAATAGTAAATGGAGTGTATATGTACATATTACAGGCTATACACAGTAGCAGTAGTACTGTATCCTATGCCAAATTTTGTAATTTAATCTATTTGTGTGTGATATTGACCTATAATTTCTGTATGTTTTACTATCCTTAATAAACAGTGTTTTTTCCCCAACATCAGTCTTTCTAGCTGGTGATAGGCAAAAAATTACAAGGGGGAACAGTTTTGTTCGACGGAGTTTAGGGCCAGGCAAAATGAAAATATAAAGAAAAAATACATACAGAGGCTAAATGCCTCTGAGGCAGCCATGCTAGTTGTGACTGTGGCTGCTAACTAATGCAGAAGATTACCTTCTAAGACACACCCATCCTCATTTGCATAATGAGGCAGAAATGCATACAGAAATGTAAAAACGACAGGCAGAAATAAATAGCATGGAAGAAAT